TTTCAAATAAGTTTCTAAATTAATTCCTACATCCGTTACAACCATTTGAAGATCTTTCCAAATTCAACGTGTGTCCATTAGTTACACCTCCACATAACACGTTAACTTGTAAATACGGGTAGTTTTGGAATCCGAAAAATAGAATAAATTAGATTTTAAGCTAGATTAGGTAACTTGCTTATTTGAATCCTAGTCAGCGGGTTTTACTTGAAAAAAATTGGGTATTTTAAATAGAAAAATAAAAGAAAGGGTTGTAGGTGATTACAAATGAATTTTATGGGTCTAAGCTCAATTTACTATAAAAAAACAATAAAAACAATGAGAGAGATAAACATATAGTTGTATACAATTAGTTTGTAAGAAAGAAAAAAAACATAGATTTGCCCGAGCGCCTTATATGGGTGGACCGTGGACCTAAACACAACATGTTACAAATAGTACAGTGACGACCCTAATGTATTGAGTGGAAACCAGCCGGGCATCTGTGCATTTCTTGTTTTGTTTTGGTTTTGATCTGAAGGTAGCTAGCTAGTCTTATTTGCCATCATCATATGTATAAGATGTCTGAGAGAGAGAAAGAGAGACTGGCTGGCAATGGCACCAAATCTAGCTACCATTGCTCACTCGGAAAGTGCGCAAGAATCAAATCGATTGCCAAAGGGCACTCACTCACTCACTCACTCCTGCTGCATTATCTCAATGTGATTTTCGTGGCATGGCCATGGCCAGCCAAATAAAATAAACGAAGGGAAGAGGTAATTACATGATGCAAAATTACACGAGTCAACGCCTCAGAAAAAAAATAAATTGCATGATCAGAATATAAATGAAAGGGTTTTGCTAAATTGTGGTCCCAAAAGACAAAGTGGAGTTGAATTTGAGTCGGTTGTTGAGTGGCATGAGGAAAAAAATGAAGGGGGAGGAGGAGACTAAAATATTATTCACCAAAAGTGAGAATGGATGAGCTGTTTTTTTTTTTGCATTATTTGTTAGCACTAACAAGACATGAAGATTGCAGGGACGACGAGTGGTTTGATTTTCCACAGCCGTTTGCTGTGGGGAGCAGGAGCAGCAGAAGCAGCAGCCAGACTCCATGTTATATGTCACTGGACCACCAACAATTCTGATCCTGATCACATTCATATCATTCAGGAAAAACATTGTAAAGTTTATTGACTTTTAAAACCAAAAACTAATGGACCACTCACACTAAGGCTATTTTTTTTATTTTTTTATAAAATCATTATTTATTGTTTGAATTTCATGGCATGCGACACGTCATGTACAGTAAGTCTCTCCTGTGCATTCAGTTCACTTAATCCTTGCCAAAAGAGAAAAGACCCTGCCGGATCAAATAGGAATCCTGAGCACATGGACTCTGTTCATGGAAGGGAAGAATTTGGAGCACATATGGAACCAAAGAGGAGGGAGCTCCCTACGTACGTACGGCAACCTAAGCTACATAATGCTGTACAGAGAGACTATTATTGGATAGCTGGATTGAATCCCTCAAAACCGACGGAATCTTGGGAACCAGAAAAGTGATTATCAAAGGCTGGAAATCGAAGTCTGTTGAACACCAAATGCTAAACAGTAATTTGCAAGGACCCCGACCCAGCGGAAAGTACTAACCCAAATTAACATTCAACTTCCAACCAAGTCATAATTCTAATTACAGCACTTACAAATCCAACAATGCAGTCATTTTGTCTTCTTCCTCGAGTGTGAGTAGGCCCTAAACCCTTCCATTTTCTTTTAAAGGATAATCAATAAAACAGAATCCCTCAGATTTAAAGCAGCCACTTCGGCTAAAAGAGATGCATGAAAAGATATTCCAATTTATTAGTGGAGAGAGAGAGAGAGAGAGAGAGAGAGAGAGAGAGAGAAGTGGGTCGCATTGCATCTATACAAAGGAGATTACATATCAAGCAGGAGGAGATATGGAGTTTAGTAATCATGTCATCTATTATGTCATCCATTGAGAGCTCATGGATGACCTCAGGATTGCAACACATTACCTGGAGGCAACCTAATCATGATACAATGCTCTATCAGAATACATTCATTTGCCTATTAACAAAACACAAAACGGGACGGTTTCAAGAATGCTGCTCTGCTTGCTCATATTATCTACGCTCTCCAATCGGTGAATTCGGAATTTTAGAAAAACTGGAAAAATAAACTTGTTGACCCGTCCCCAAATGTTCGCAGATCCGCAGGTTTTACCAGTGCCCTGCATAAAGGGCAAGTTCTTTCTCTCTCAAACCTGAAAAGGTAAAGTAGTTGCCAGTTGGTCGACAGATTAAAAGATGAATATAAGCTCTACATTGTGAAATAGTTGAACAATAATGTAGAAATCTAGTAAGATTCTGGTTCAATTAAGCAGCAAGAACATCCACAATAGTGGCAAGCAGTTGATCCAGCACCAATGCTTCTGGCCAATACACGGGGATACAGATAGTTGGACCAAAGCAAAACTTGCCAGAGGCAAAATTTTGTTCATGGGCGGTGGCCTTTTTTGAGAGAATTAAAGGTTTAACAAGCAAAGTATGAGAGAGACATACTAGAAATCACATTTCATCCTTGAAAAGAACAGGTTTCCAATATTTCTAATATAATATCCTGATCATTGATCTACAACTCAGTGAGAAACATAAGGTAACAAACTAACCATTCTGAGACACAATCCTCACAGAAAATGTGTTTACAGCGCAGCAGAATCGGAGCATGCATCTTCTCCTGACAAATGGCACAAAGGTCCCCCGCTGCATTTACCTGAAGCAAAATACTTGTGAGCTGGAATGCATAGATAACTACTTATGCGGAAAAACAAAAATTGTATTCACTATGTAACACTAAACATGCTTTAATGCAGACACATGCATATTTTAAATGAAATAGAAAGTATAAAGTTTGAAAGGTTATGTAGCTAACTAGCTTCTAATTTGTTGAAAGGACAAGAAAAACCAAGTTTAATAGGTTAACGATAAATACAGGGAGGGTGGGTACATATCGCCTTCTTTTACTTAGGAAATAAAGAACATAGCACAAATAGCAAGAAAATGATCTCAACGTTGTTGATCTAGCTTCCAGAACCCAAAGTAAATCAAATCATTTAGTTAGATTTCATACCTGTTCCAACGTTGCATACGCCCCATAATGGATATCCTTCCGCGATAATGCCCTTATTGAAGCAAAAAAGGATTGGACCTAAAAAGCAATAAAATATAAATATAACATATAAACCCAATTCAAGTGCCATGAAGTATATCATCATGTTCTAGTACAACAGCTTACTACTTAATAGACTTACCTTCTCAACGACAGATGTTAGCTTAAAAGTTAAATACAATCCTGTAGTAAGTGATGAGAAGAGGCTCCCATTATCTTTGTTCAGGAAGAATCTGTACCAAACAGGTGCTGGTAACAAGGCACGGTACAGCAGCAGTGTATACTCAACCACAGTTAATATTTGACCCTTCAAAATGAGATAACAACTTTCAGCGAGTTTTTCCAAATTATGAGATAGTTGAAGATAAAATGCTTATGGAAATTTCTAACGCTCAGCATCATGTCACCTGCCGACGATAATTATGGCCTCTGCCATTCTTGTAGTATATAAGCAACAAACACTTGAGAGCCATCGTTGCCTGCCTCACCATGGTATCTGAAAGTAATAAAATTCAGAAAAAAAAACTCTCCAACATATTCAAAGAAAGATAAGTACTGCACAATAAGAGAAGTGACATAGGAAATAAACAGGCAACATTACAGAGACAAATAGAGGACAGAAGCATTATATAGAACCAGAAACGGAGACAACCCCACATTAACTGATAGCTCCAAGTAGACACAAAAAAGTAGAGGGACAACATGAAATATTGAATAAAGTCTAAGACATTCCGACAGACTTATGAACTTTAAATTGAGGATTTCAATGCAAAACTTAAAACCCTATTGAATTCTATCTCCAACATTCATAACAGATCCTTCTCTGATGGTTACAAAAGATGAACGGCCTACTCTACATTTAATAAATTAGTATATCAGTTGTCTTCACAGAGAAATTTTAACAATAAAGACTGTCTCCATACCATTGACCAAAATGATGAATATCGCATGCCAGAAAGGTGGTATGGCTTTAGGAGGAAGCATTGCCAATGGGTATAAAAGATCATCACTTCGATACCACCAGTAAACACCAACTACATGAAGCATAAAAGCAGCAGCAATACTTAGAAGAACTGGTATTTTCCTATCTCCCTGCAGAAACCAATAATTGTTTGAGATATTTGATCTGCTATTCAACAGATTTTGCAGTGGGGGAACAAATGGATAATATAATCTCATATAATCAAAGATGTACCAAATTACCTTTAGAGCTGTCTGCTTCCGAACAACATCATTTGACCTATACATGACAGCTGATACCCATATAGTGACAAAGAAACCTGCAAGTTATCACCCCAAAAAGTAAATGAATAAAAAGCACTGCAGTGATAAATAAAAATGCAAGACAAACACATTAAAACCATTTAGTTCACAAAATTTTCTCCATTCATTTACATAGATATTGCCATTTGACATTTATGAGAAAGGATATTTTTTTTAGAACTGGATAAGCTTGAGATTAAGACTGAAAACTAATAAACTTGTGCCTGGTGGAAGAAAACTTGTCCTCAAGATTTTAAGTATTAGCTTATGATGTTACAGCCTATCACATTGGCATCTCTATGATAGTTGATAATATGCATAAGATACTGATTTCTGCATAATTCGAGTTTGTATTTTATGTCGCAATTATTAGAATGGGTAACATCAACTGTTAATGTTACCAAAGAATATGGATGTGACTCAACTCAAAATGGGCCAAGAAAACCCTAGCTCCATCTAAATTGTAAAACCAAGATCAGTACATGTTTAAAATACTCTCTCCAAATAAAATAGTCCCTCTAAAATAACACAAACAAAATAGGAAACACTCATGCCTCAGCAGCTTCAAACTTACAAAGCAAAGGCTAAGTTTTGGGCTTCATATTAGTTGGTTCAAACTTACACGAATGATCATAGAGACAATCTGCACTTAAAATTTGAAGTAAGTAAGTGGTGAGTGTGAGTACCTTGCAAATGCTGACGAATGAACACAACGAGTAAGAGCAGCGAAAACGGAAGAACCTGCTCAATCCATCTGGCTATCTGTTGAATATCATATCTCTGGTAAGCAGAATCCCTAGAATTATTATCCACACCATCCCCAGTGTCCCCAACGTCACGCCTATGTTCTGGAGAAGACGGAGGCACCAAGGGGACTCTCTCGCCTGACCCAACCCCATTGACTGTACCAGCCAGATTATCCAACGATTGAACCCTACCGCTATGCCCTAGCGATCCACCATTTCCGTCCCCTTGAAACGGCACAGTTGCGGCACCGTTACCGCGGTCTTCCTGTTCACCGGCGCCGATAATGCGAATTGAAACCTCTCCGGTGGTGCTAGAGCCGGAGGTGCAGGCCGAAGGGGAATGGGGGCGAGAATCGGCGACGACTACGGCGTTGACCACCGGAGCGTCAGCTTCGTGGCGGGAAGAGCTCGGAGAAAGTATACCGGAGTAATCTAATACGAAGGAGAGCGGAGACTGGAAGAAACGGAGGGCAGGGAATTGCATAGACCCAAACGACGTCGTGCTGTTGCTATTATTCCCAGTGTTGCCTCCACTGGTTGGACTAGTATTTCCGGGCGATGCTTCCATGAAAATCGAAAACCCTAATTCTTCAAGTTTCGGCCCCAAAGCAAGAATCAGAGATAAGTAAAGAAAAGAACCAACCTTGATGGCTTTTTGTCGACGACGAATTCAGAGAAGGAGAGGATCGGAGAGAGACGGCAGACCGTTGAAGAAGAAAAAGTCAAAAAACGACAGACTTGTAGTGAATGAAAATGGGCCCTGTCGTTGTTTTACTGAGCTAAATTCTAAGCTCTCAACCCGAATATCGGGATCGCCTTCTTTTTCTTCTAAGACTAGTAAGAAGCATGAACGATAAGCTACGCGTCGTCGTCTTTCTTTGGCCCTTTTTCTTTTTCTTTTTTCTTTTTTTTGGTTAAATTTTTATTTTGCTTCATCATTGGCTGTTAGCCGTAACGTGTTGACTTTGTATTTGTTGCAGGAACGCTTTAATTTATTATTTCCTCTTTCCTTTAATTGCGTTCCGCGCGTGCCGTTTCCATTCTCTTTCTTTCTTTCTTTTTTAATTTTATGAAATTGATATTGGGAAAGGAAGATATTGAAAAAATAAAAAATGAGAATTCAAACACAAAACCTCAGGTATACTCTAGTATATGTATAGTGTATGTAAGTATATTATCGATCCGTTCAATAAAAAAGGTCCTAAAAAAAGAAAACAAAAGAAAACAAAGCCTCGGATACATGAATAACTGCTCTAAGCGGCCTTGTCTATTTGTTTGTATGCTTTTATTTAATAAGGGTCATTTTCTATATGTACACAAAAGAAGAAAAATCATAATTTGATATAATATCGAAATTATGATTTACTTGTAAGAGAAGAAAAGGCTCCTCATTATGCACAAGGAGCAACCCATTGAAATTGCTTTAATTAAGTTGGCTTGGGTGGCCTCTCAAGTGGTCGGTTGTCCAAAATCAACAAAAATTAAAGGCAATACACATCACACGAACTGTATTCGCCAAGCACATGGACATATGTTTGAAACATTCCTGGCCCAACCAACAAGCAACAAGAACAGAAGGCTTTGTCTCTCTTACACAAAATTCTGCAACCTATTGGAAGGAAAAACAGAAACAAAGATGGCACGAACGGCAATATGTTAAAGCCATCAAGTTAGCCCCTCCAGTTGTCCTTCCTCTGCCTTATTTCACGCAGAGCTTCAACGGCAGTTTTGCAACCAACCCTCTCCTGTAAAACAAGTTAAACGTCTATGTAAGGAAGCTGTATGTATGTATGGCGCAAGTTGGCGATTGAAAGCGAGCATGCTGCAGTTGGTCATGCTAGAGTTGGCAAAAACCAAAAGTTGCATAAACATGGAACAATACCATACCAACTTCTTAATCATTTCAAGCTTCAAATTTAGTAACAAACTGTGCTACATCAGTTTCCAAATATTCACTTACTACTTTTATCTCAATTGAAAACATGATATGGTTATCAACTTATAGGAGAATAAGCAAACCTGAAGCTCTGGTAGATCAGCCCGCATAAAAGGGTTCGTCTCCATCTCTTCCTCAATGGTTGAAGGAACTGTCGGGAGGCCTGCTTCCCGCTGCTTCTGCGCCCATGATAACTTCTGCTTTATTTTCTCATTGTCTGGTTCAACTGTCAGAGCAAATTGCAAGTTCTTCACTGTGTACTGGAGCAATACCAATCAAATCATTACCTTTGCCTTACGGACTGAAAGACATACAGCATATACAACAACAATTGAATGAATATGACAGTTATAAACTATGATAATCATTGGAACTAAATTGGAAAATAAACAACCCAATTCATCCTTGCTCAGGTGAAGGAAATAGATTGCATTGTTCAAGTACATCAAACTTTGGGGCCCGTAAACATCATCAATTAATAATGCCCTGTCGTTGAGTAAAATTTCAAGACACAAAGAAATACAGAATCTTCTTTTACCTCATGGCCACAGTAAACTCGTGTTGGCTTTGGCAATGAACCCAAAGTCACGCATAGCGACTGATGCATCTGTTCTGCTGTTCCTTCGAAAAATTTACCACAACCCGCAATAAACTACATATAGAGCAGGAACCACAGTTAACTGCTTGCATCCTTATAAATAGACATAAATTAAGTAAATTAAAAGAGATTCAGAGAACCACCCTAGTACAGCCTAAAGGTTCCTAAGAACATAAAAAAGGTTTCGGTATTCCAAACTTCTAAGTATTTGGCATTACTACATAGGGGGACAGATGTGACATCGACTTCATAGTGCAAGACAATAACCCATGTCTATAGCACAACACATTCAAATAAACTTAAGACTACAGAAACCAGGTACCCTAAGAGGCCTTTCATGACATCAGTCATTGATTTCAGATTTGAAAGAAACTAAAGCTCTTTCACTCAACTTACCAGTGTGTCTCCAGTAAAAACAGCTGGGTCATCTCCCTCTTTGCTAGTCACATAATAGCTTATGTGACCTTTAGTGTGGCTGGTGAGAGCAAGTTCAGGAGAAGAATATAATTAAAAACATAAAAAGGAAAGACATACACAAAGTTAAATCATCGGTTAAAAAAACAATCAAGCATAAAGGACAATTATAATTTAGCATTTGCTAAGATAGCATGGAAGCAATACCTAATCTAATGATCACGGTCCTATGGCCCTCTTTTTCTTGCCAGGTTTAGATTCGAATTCTCTATCATATCATGCTATAAAGGATCAAGGATATCTTTTGTTAAAGAACTATGATGCATCTATGCTTTAATCCCAAACAAAAGAAAAACTTGAGAACATTTGTGTGCCAGAAAGGCAATAATATGCTGTTGTTGCTCTATACAGTCCAAAAAGAGGTAACGGATTAGTCCAAACTCCAAAGAGACTAACAAAATATCAGTCGTATAGCAGACTTAAGAACATTACACATTAATGAAAGACAAATCTGCAAGGAAGACGCATACCAAGGTGTGTGAAGAGACAATATATGAACATCAGCCCCGAGCGAAATCTTATCACCATTGTCCACCTTATCAGTGCAGCCCTTTACATTATCAATAGAACCACCATATACCTTAATCCTCGGCACCAGCTGCTTTATCTTCTCATTTCCACCAGCGTGATCCCTACCACATAAATGCACCAGCAAAAAAAACACTTAAAACAGAGGCAACTAACCCATAAGTCTAATCTTTACATGTACCCAAACTAAGAAGCTCAATACAATCTTGGCCTCTCAGATTATTACCCAAGTAAGATATGAACCCCAAATACCTATTTGTTGGCACTTATGTCCAAAACAAATATAATACATATAATAATTTTGTGTTGACATGTTATGTTACAGTTGAATATGAGTAATGGGTATGCAGAAATAAAGCACATGGGTACGAATGTAAGTGATTGAATGGTAAATTTGATGAAGAACTGCAAACATTTACACACCAGTGGTGGTGAGTGGTGAGGACGAACTTGATATCAACCCCATGTTCTTGAGCTGCTTTAAGAACCTTTTCAGGCTCAACTGGATCCACAGCTGCAGCTTCTTTGGTACTCTCGTCAATGATTCTGTTAATCCAAACCCAGCAAGTCATAATCACCATTAACAATTACAATTTTACAATTAAATTAATTATGCTAGAAAGTAGAAAGACCCTGATAAAAACGATAATCAGAAATTGAGATGAAAAGCGGGATTTTGGCTCACAGGTATGCGTAGTTGTCCTCCAAGCAAGCAACGTGGTGGATTTTCATCTCCGTTGTTTGACGGTCTCTTTCTTCTGGAAACCTCCGGCTTCTGATTGAAAAGTCCACTGAGCTCAGTGAGGAAATGCAAATACAAAGAGGCAGCTGAGGAAGGGGCAAAACCGTAAAATGGTCTAATAGCGCCACGTCTGATTCATCTGACACGTGTCGCAAGGCCAAGCCAGCCAGCTCGCCTGATGAGTAGACAGCCCGACGTGATAAAAAAAATAAAATTGGACCTGGGTCGACCCGAGCTGAAATGAATGGAGCACCGAGTATAAAAAGCCCGCAATAGGGTTTCTTCCCGGAAATCAGGAGCTCGCCATGGGGAGGAGTGAGTGCCTCTCTCTTGCATTCATCTTATTTTTCCCTCATTTGTTTCTTCGTTCTTCGGCCATTGATGTATTATACATTTATCTATCTAATTTTTTGTTTAAAGCTCTGATTGCGTTTACCATTTTATTGGCGCGAGATGAATTTTGTTGTCAAAGAATTCGTTTCTATGTTTTTTATCCAAGCTCTTTGGTTTTCTTTCTCTATGTTTCATATTTGTAGTCTGCATTTTATCTTATTGAACAAGGTTAGTTGTGGCGTCCGATTTTTGATACAGAAATGGGCTTTGCTTGTATGTAATCGGTTTATTTTCTAACGTTGGTGTTGGAATTTAAACGTTGAGAACATCTTAAACCGTTGCACAAATGTAATTTCTAAGACCCAATTGTTTTTGTGAGTTGTTTATTGGTGGTACTTTTTGGAACCAATTGTTGCGGCAATCTTAGCAAATGTCGTTGTCAATGCTGTATAAGTTTGATATATCTGTTATTCAGATTCTAATTTCAATTGTTGAATTTGGTAAAGTGAATTCATTATTGTCTGTAAGTTTGATATAATCATGTTTTTATGACCATTTTTTGGATGCTCTGTTATTGTTGTAGGGCCTGCAGAAGGGACCTTTCTATCTTTGCCCAAATCAAAAAGCAATAATCTCAATGACTAGAAGCTATTTGAAGATCCAAACAAGTTTGATCCATCGCGGTTTGAGAGCTCCAAGAAATCATCATCTCCCCCATACACATACATTCCGTTTGGAGCAGGCCCTAGAATATGCCCCGGCTTAGAATTTACAAGAGTTGAAGTGTTGCTCATCATTCACCATTTCATTACCAATTATTCTTGGGCACCAATCATCAAGAACGAGCCCATAAGATGTGAACCCATGCCATATCCAGTTAAGCTTCGTGGAAAATGTCATCATAACGTCAGCTTTGATTGTTCAAAGTCTTTCTCGATGGTCAATCATAGGGAAGTTTTTCTCCTTTCCACGAGTACCCACGTGCCACGTCCTCACACAGTCGCCAAATGGGACCAACCTCCCCCTCCATTATTTTATCATCCCACGCGACCCACAATTAAACTGTGCACGCCACAACGCCGACCACGATTAAAACATCCAACACCCTTGATCTGAGTCTGACCAAAGGTCATGAACATCAACGGTTCTGATTAAAGGACCCCACGCCACGTTACAAATTCAAAGGCCGCGCTCTTCCTTCCACGGACCTCGTGCCCAATCTAATTACAAATCCTCACGCTTCTTTAACAGTCTTATATTCCACACCACACACACTCGGAAACCAGAAAGCTTTCGAATTCCAATTCAACTATATAAACCCATTCACAATAAAGAACCTGGCTCTGCTTCTAAAGATCCAAATCCAAGAATCGAATCGTTTCGTTTCGTTTCATCCGCCACAAGAAAGCGTTTCAACAAGACAGTGAGCGGTTTCTTGCACTCCGTCTCTGCGAATGGCATCGCTGGGCCTTCAATTCGGAGGAAGTCCATGCTTCGATATTTCCCAAGACAATCTTTGCAGTCCCTCATCCAATCAGAGGCCGTGTGGTGCGATTATCCGCAGCCTCACCGGATCAAGGGGTGCGAGAGTCAATTCATTGGCGGTGGCGGTGGCGCGGGCCAGTTTGGAAGCGGTGCCCCGACAACGGCGTCGCGGCGGTGGAAATGGAAATAGTGCCGAGACGGCGGCAGCGGCGTATGAGAAGTTGGACGCGTGGATGAGAGATTCGGTGGTGGAGATCGTCAATAATCTTAGAGAAGCGCCGCTTTTGGTCAATGTGCACGGGAAGGGCAGTACGCACGAGAAGCCGAGGCTTGAAACGGAGAAGGGGGTGGAGTAATATGGGCTAGCTTGTTACTTGTTGAAGACGAGTAAAGTAAAGGCCGGGTCGGGTTGTGGGCTGGGGATGGGCTTGCGCTGCACTCCTTTCTGCTTGGTTCGGGTCAAGAGTTTCAGGGAGACGGCCCAATCTTAGCTGAAGAATTGCTGGCTATTGCAGGCCCTGCAGGCCCAGGCCCAATGATACTCTAAATCCAAATTCAATTCATTTGTAAATCAAAATACCAACTTACAAGAGCACCAGATTAATTTGATGCTCACTTAAATCATATTAATTCATTCATGGTGTACAGTAATGTAATTGTACACCTGGCACTTAGTTTAGTCAAATAGTGGGTCCTATTGGTGCTACGTCATCTTTTTTAACATAATTTTTAATAGACTTGACGGCATGAGGCAAAGTGAGACATAAAACATCGGTCAATGGGGCAAAGTGGGTTACTTGAACTTTAAGGAGGTAAAGTGAGAATTGACCAATATTTCACGGTGCACTGTAGCAATTAAGCTTAATTTTGAAGAAATAAGAACTAGAGGTTATTAAGGAAAGAATAACAGAGTAATGACAACTAAATCATTTAGAGGCCAAAATCCCAACTGCCTATGATTCATCAATGATCAAAAGACGGTATGTCTGAACTTTCCTTGTGGTTAGTTGCATGTTAAGAATCGCAATCCTATTTGAATCAAGTTTAGTTATTTTGGAGTTGCAATCCTATTTTCCCAGTGGTACAAAGCAAATGATTTAAAAGAGTGAGACATACAAACTATCACTATATATATCATTAGACCAGCAAAAGCTACATCCATTGCAGTGATGACTACTATCTGCCTAATGAAAGAAAAATAAATCCCTTTTTCGGTCAGTGTATATGTGTTGAGTGAGGGTGCACATAGTAACCTCAAAGTAAGCCCTTTTTCCCTTTTTCTTTTTGGTAACAAATCTGGATTTTATTAATGATAAAAGAGTTAGAAAGGGGATGAACAAGATGTCCTCTAAAATCCTGTGAACATCCCCAACCCCAAACACTAAGTACAATAAAATCCAACTAAGTATTGGAACAATAAAAAATCAAGCTAACTATGTGGAAGGCACATCATTGACCCAAAGAGGTCAATGGTCTTCATGACTCTTAATTACCTGATCCCAATCATAATGTAAAATAGAGAGAAGAGGGAAGCAGGAGGAGGAAATACTGTATATTTGATACCAGGTTTCAAAACTAAGCTATGGAAAGACTTTACCAAGAAAATAAAATGCCATATCCAATGCTTGAAAACTTACTTTCCTACATAGAATTATGATTACATACCAAAAAAGTGAGCATTATAAAACAAGTCTTACACAAGAACTTATATACGAAAGTTGGGAGAAGAAGAATTGGAAGAAATTCTCTACAAACATTTGCAAGGGAGACACTATCTTGTTGTTTTAGATGACATATGAAGTACCATCGCTTTTGACAATCTTGCAAATGCCTTCCTAGACGATCAAAGTAGAAGTAAATTCTTAATTACAACTCACAACAATAATGTTGCTTTGCATGCAGATGCCCGAAGCCCTCCCTATGAACTACAATTTCGAAGTTATGCAGAAAAGCATTCACTGAAAGTATTGATAGAGTATGCCCTCCACAAGTGAAGGAAATTGGACAGGAAATTGTGGCGAACTGTGTTGGTTTACCACTAGCCATCGTTGTGTTGGGGGGCTTGCTTTCCAGGAAAAGAAGGCTGAGTGAATGGCACAGGGTTCTAAACAACATTCACTTAATCTTAGCCCGTGATCCAAATTACTATCTGAGTGTCAATTTTGACGTGCTTTCTTGAGCTTCAATTTGACGCCAAAGGCCCAAGCTGTTTTTTCACGTCACATAAGGCATATTGGTTTGAGTGAAATGAACAATTATTTTTTATTGTTGAAAGTCTATGCAACACTTTTAACACATCAGCCGAATATGCTCTTATGCAATCTATTATAAAATATTGAGTGTGGTGAATTGTCGAATCGAAGCCAACTTAAAGAAGTAAAGAACCATGATGAAGAGTGTGTTAATAATGGGCATTTTGCTTTTTCTTTATTTTTAGGTGAAGATTAACACTCGGCATCTACAAACTTTTATGTAAATGCAATTATTATATCCTCATTGCGACAAGGCTAGAAGAAATGAATAACCGAGCTTAAGCCCAAACATATGAAGTTGGCGCTAGCCCGGCATATGAACATAACACAACCGGAAGCCCCAATACAACTGAGCTTGGATTTGGCTTTAGGATGCTAAAAATATATTTCAAATGGGTTTCGAAAACAATTGATATGCAATGATCAGACTCTTACCTGAATTGAAGTGTATTTTTTGGAGGAATTTTCAAGGTACTCAGTTCGCAGCTCACCTACCTCTCCAAGTGCCTTTTCTTGTTTCCATTTCGAGTAAAAGCAAATAGTACTAAGCGTGACAATGGCTAGAGGACGACCCAGAAAGGTTTGGCCTTTTTTAATTTTCTCACACTTTCTCGTATTTTCCCTCACTTTCTCACTCGTCAAGCGCACCCTCTTCGTCCTACTACCCCATCATCCCTTTTCTTTCCCGAGTTTACGTGTGATGCTCTTATGCAATCTATTATAAAACATTGAGTGTGGTGAATTGTCGAATCGAAGCCAACTTAAAGAAGTAAAGAACCATGGTGAAGAGTGTGTTAATAATGGACATTTTGCTTTTTCTTTATTTTTAGGTGAAGATTAACACTTGGCATCTACAAACTTTTATGTAAATGCAATTATTATATCCTCATTGCGACAAGGCTAGAAGAAATGAATAACCGAGCTTAAGCCCAAACATACGAAGTTGGCGCTAGCCCGGCATATGAACATAACACAACCGGAAGCCCCAATACAACTGAGCTTGGATTTGGCTTTAGGATGCTAAAAATATATTTCAAATGGGTTTCGAAAACAATTGATATGCAATGATCAGACTCTTACCTGAATTGAAGTGTATTTTTTGGAGGAATTTTCAAGGTACTCAGTTCGCAGCTCACCTACCTCTCCAAGTGCCTTTTCTTGTTTCCATTTCGAGTAAAAGCAAATAGTACTAAGCGTGACAATGGCTAGAGGACGACCCAGAAAGGTTTGGCCTTTTTTAATTTTCTCACACTTTCTCGTATTTTCCCTCACTTTCTCACTCGTCAAGCGCACCCTCTTCGTCCTACTACCCCATCATCCCTTTTCTTTCCCGAGTTTACGTGTCTTTCCTAATTCCTTTTCGGATGGTTCAATCCGACCTGCATTTGTTTGGCCATGCTCTCGCATTTTCTTCAGTCCTTATGTTTTTTTTTTTTAACCAAGAAAAATCAAGTTTTTGTTCAGCTGATTTCTCACACATTTTTTATTTTATTTTCTACTCCACTTCATTTTTGCAGAGGAATTCCCGCATGGATGCTGCCATTGATGCTATGACCCGTGAAATGGGTTTTGACGAGAGACTAGTTCGTGCCACAGTAAAAGAGCTACTGAAGGTGGATTTTATTTTTATTCTGTTTTCATTGTTTTCTGAGAGTTTTGGGTTCTGGGTTTTGTTTGTCATATCAAAAGGTTTTGCTTTCAGGTTTATGGAGTGCGAGGATCTCCAGACCAAGGATGGCCCTTTATCGAAGAGTTTTCTTATAAACTCCTAATTGAGCAGCTTCTTGAAAAACAAGAAGATGGTGCTGAAAATAGGGTAAGTTGATTGCTTGTTATTGTTGTGTGTGCTAAAGTTGCTTCGTTTTTTGTACAATGTGCTGGGGGAAAATTGGGGCTTCTTGCTGCTTTGAGATTTATTATTCCTACGCTCTTCGATTTGGTGTTCTTATTGGGTTTGTGGCTTCAGACAAAGACATTATCTTAATCACATTAAATTGGTTGCCTGGTGATTATAACAATTTTAAATCTCACATTCGAGCAAGACCTGTACCTGTTACTTTTTCCGAGGTTCGTACTTTACTTCTTGCTGAAGAAATTGATCTGAATAGAGCTGCATCTATCATGAACACACCACTCCTTACTGCTATGATGGCTAAGACCAAGTTAACTCCTGTTCATCAAACCCAAGGTTCTCCATATTCTCAGGATCAGAGTTATCAGCATCCGACTCCAGATCACAGTTATTCTAATGGTACTTCAGGTTATAATGGTTCATCTTCTAATCGACAATGGAATTCCAGAGGTGGTTCTTAGGGAAACAGGTATTACAGAAGCAGGAATAACTTCAGAAACAGATATAATAAGAGTAGACATGGTAGCAGTTCAAATGGTAATTCCACTTATGGTTCAGGCCAATTTTTCTATCAACCTGGTTACCTGGTGGTAATTATGGTAATTCAGGTGGTTCTGGTTTTCAACACCCTGGTTCTTTTTTGGCCCATCAGAGTGCACCTCATAGTCAATATTATGTCCCTCCACATTCTGGCCCTGGAATTCTTGGTTCATCTACTCTATGCCCTACTGCATCACCATGGCGATCTCCTACTCAGTCCTTTCAATCTACTATAAGATTCATTTCACAGAAAAATCAAAAGCTCTGAGTTTCTATTCTAGTCTTCTCTCTTCGTTTCTACTTGATGTTTCAGTGAAATTGCACTAGTTTTATGCCTTCGAACAGCATTCACCAATTGTTATTTTGTTTTTCGCCTTGACTTGCGTTGCTCTTAATTGTATAAAATTAGTCATAATTCTGGTTTGAACTCTTTGAAGGATGCAGCTCCACTAGACGATGCAGCCCCACCAGACAATGCTGTTCCACCAGACGACGCTGCTCCACTAGGTGATGCAGCTCCATCAGATGATGCTGCTCCGTATGATGATGCTGATGATGCATCATCAGCAGTAGGGCCCTCAAGCATTGTTATTCTACCGACCTTCTCAGGGGCTGTGGACAGCAAATTGCAGACTCAGGATGCTTGTGACTCTACATCACAGAATAATGGACTTATTCATGCATTACTGATTAAAACTACAGGTAAATGATTTTCTAATTATTCCTAAATATTTATAGATGTTACAGTTTCAGCCATGGGCAGTTTTGATTCATACTCTTTATCTTTTCAGTTCCACTCCTTTATGAATGTGCACTTGTTTTGCAGGTGCCAAGGAGTGTCTCCCAGTAGATACTCTTGCACTGCGGAGGCGTAAACCTTGCTATGGCTGGGCTTTTAGCAATGATGGGGAAGGTCCTGTGGAACTAAAATCGGGCCCATTGCCAGAGTCAGGTAAATTACTTATCAGGCCAGCTGAGAAGAGGAAGCGCAAGTCAAGGGGGGATGTGAGGCCTGAAGAGGCCTGAAGATATGCAAAGCTCTTTCACTTTGATGTCGTAGTTGGAATATGTATAAATAGGAGTCTTGTGTATAACTCACATATTTTGGTGACGCTGATACTAGATTATTCAAATCTGGTGTTGTGGCAGTTATAGGTATCATGTCGATATTCGATGCCAACCAGTGCAACTCTAGAGAAGAGAATGCACATTTTGGAAAGCCATTGGAACCCAAATTACATTTACAAGAAGATAGCGAAAGATTGTGGGTGCTTTTGTCAATCAGTTTGTTGGTGCTTATGTAAATGATCTGATTGGTGCTTTTTATGTTCTATACTTTGTCGTTGCACTTATTTTTCCATCTTAAAATTCAGCCTTTCATTTCATTTTGATTTACAAGAAGATCAAGGAAAAGAAGAGAAAAATTGTTACACTGCTTAAGAAGACAACTATTGAAACACTTGTGCTATGTTTTCTTCAAGTTTGACAGTGTGTGTGAGCAAATCCCTCTCCCAATATCGAGTATGAAAAAAAAAAAATTCATATAATAAAGATAAAATTGATAAGGATGGAAATATTTTCCTTTTCGTTACCACAGATTGAAACTTCATTAGATATATATACTTTTGAATATAGAGAACACCCATTATCTGAAATACTTTAGGAGATTTTTCTCTCTGCTATTTTGTTTGAAACAGACGTCTGCATGATGTTATTTGCCATTTTATATGTGATTACTTTACTTTGAGCCAACTTTTCTTGTGCAAGGACAAGTAATTCAGCAGTTATGCCCCCCTTTTCCCTTGTCCTCTTCCACAAGCCTCCTCCATCTCACTTTTGTCCTTGTGGATAAAGTTTACTTAAGAAAATTGCTAATTTAGTTATCTTCTTTCCCTAAATTTAATTATGGTTTCTAATATGTTGGTATTTTAAGCGTTTATTTTAAATTTTGAGAAGACTACCTGGGACAACATTAATTGTTTCTTTTTGCTATTTGACGTCGTATTTTTTAATGTCCCAGGTCAGCTTATGATAATCTTGAACTGTTAAAGAATGGTCTACCTGGAGCTCTTGTAACTGCATCTGTTTTGGGGATACATGAGCTCAGCCATGTTTTAGTTGCAAAAAACACTGGAGTCGTGCTTGGAGTGCCATACTTTGTCCCTAGTTGGCAGGTGAATTTCATAAGAAGATGTCCCCCCCCCCCCTCCTCTTCTTTAGGGTTGATCACATCGATTGTGGACCTTCTGCTTCTGACATCTGTAGGAGTTTTAAGCTCCTTAGAGTGCTGGAATTAGAAGATATGAAGTGGTTGAATATTCCAAGCGCAATTGGAAAAATGGTCCATTTGAAGTACTTGGGTTTAAGGAATAGCTGCATAACGGAGCTTCCAGAAGAAATAGGTTGTTTGTCTAACCTGCAGACTCTTGACATTGCCAAAAATTACTATCTGAGAAGGGTACCTAATGTGTTGTGGAAGATCTATTTTATTGCAAGTTGCGAATTGACACCCTCCGACAACTCGAGACTCTATCAGATATACATGTTGGTAGTTGGAAAGAAACTGACTCCGGGAATTTAGTCAGCCTTCGAAAGTTGGGATTGAAAGGACCATTCACCACAAACAGAGTGGAAATATTTGAATCTTTAGCCAAGCTTCCAAACCTCCACTCCTTGTCCTTGACGTCTGCTGATACTGTGTTTCCATCACTCCCTGAACTTTCATCTCTTCGCGGTGTCATAAAGTTGCATCTGAGCAGAGATACTTGAGAAGCTGTCTTATCTATTTGTTCTAAGACTAAAAACTTCTTCTTACGATGGAAAGAAACTGAAATTTTCTGCCAACGGTTTTCCTCAACTTGAATTTCTAGAGCTTGAAGTCTTGGAATTTTTGGAGGAGTTAGAAGTTGAAGAAAGTGCAATGCCAAAGCTTACAAGTTTGCAGATTACCGATTGCAAGCAGCTCTGGATGCTCCCTGAAGAGATAAAGTATGTAACTACTCTGAGTGAGTTGGTGTTCAAAGGGATGCCAAGAAGATTCCTACATAGGCTGCCAGGAGAAGACCATCATAAAGTCCAGCATGTTCCCTCTATGATAAAGTCATGATCGTCTAATTTGCAGGCACCAGGTTCATCTTCACCTTTCATCTTTCTGCAGGGGACTTATAAGTCACATTAGTAAACAAATTTTCTAACATTTTCATTTTTCACCAGGTTCAATTCAGACAAACAAAAGTGGATTGCGTTCTGCATAGATTCATGCCAGAACGATTTGGATCATGTGTTGTGCACTCACTTGTTCAATGGCAGAAAGTTTTCTCACATGTCAATGATACCATAAATTTCTTACCAATTGGAGAGAAGATCAGAAAACATCCAGCAATGAACTTCCATTCTTGTATATTCAAACTTGTTAAGGTTAATGAACTGTTGTAGCAAAAGCTGTGACACAGTTAACAGCAATGTTTATGTTTATGTTTATGTTTTTGTACTGAAGTGGTAAATTATGTAATAAAACTTGAGTAAAAAAGAAAATATTCTTTTTATGTAGGCATAAGGTATTAGTCATAAAAAGAAAATATTCTCTTGGACTCAGGCTCATGGAACATTTGTTTGTGGCAAAAATGGTGGTGGAGTGGCAGAGCAATACAATTGTGAAAGAGATGTTGACATATGTGTTGGGACTTTGAGTAAGGCTGCAGGTTGCCATGGCGGATTCATAGCATGCAGGCAAGTGTTCATGCTATCTTTTTTCTTAGTAACAATAACAGATATTGTAATTTGTAAATGTTAGGTTTATAGCAGTTAGCAAATATGAAATGAAAATGATGTGCACTATTCCTGAATTTCTCTGAAATATGCTAAAATAAGGAGGGAAAACTGTGGCAGTTGGTTTTAAAACTTAATACTTTAGGTGTTGAAGTAATGGGTTCTTGTGTGTTCCATTTCTTTCTTTGTAGCTTGCCATATAAACAGCAAAAGGTGGAAGCAACTCATACAATCAAGGGGTCGGTCTTTTATATTTTCAACTGCTACGCCAGTACCAATTGCTGCTGCTGCCCGTGGTAATATATAATTTTGTTTGTTACAGGTGCTTTAGTTGAAAATAATCTAACTTTTATTCAATCAAATATAAAATCTTCTTTGCACTGTTACTCACTGAGGTTATAAGAGTATCCACAATGAGCTCCCTAAATCACATCCTTAGACAAATTTTAGGGAGGCATTGTAAAAATGCATCTCCAACCATGCTCCCTATCCACCTCCTAAAATAGGGAGTCCTCTAGGAGCTCTTAAATTTGAGGAGAGAGAAAGGACTCCTAGTGGCTCCCTATAATTTAATGTTTTCTTATTTAATGAGTATTTCAAACCTTTATTTAATGCTAACTATTTTTTATTTTATTTTTTAATAGAGATGGACCAATCAAAAAAGAGTTATAGCATTTATGACTCTCCAAATTAGGGAGTATGGTTGGAGTTGAAATTTTCTAGAGAGCTCGTAAAATAGCTTTCTTATATTTTAAATTAAATTTTAGCTAAAAAATAGAGAGCATTATTGTGGATGCTCTAAAATAATACTCTCAAGTTAACTCTCTGTCTGAAACCAAAGAAATTGTGACCAAACCCCAAAAGGCCTCACTATTGGGTTTTTTTGTGCCAAAATGGACCCATGAATGTAGCTCACATAAAGAGCCCGTTTGCTTCTCACATTAGTTGCCTAAGGCTTGACCAAACTCCCATTTGAGCGATGACCAAAAAAGTAAAAAAAGCCTCACTCTTTTTATTTTTCAGCCAAAAAAGGCTCACACTTCAGCTAAGTCATTTTTGCAAGGTTTTCATTTTCCGTTGTAAACAACGGTTTGTTTATTGACTAGAATCAGTCAGGCGAAGGAAGGAAGTAAACCCAAAGGTCCTCTGGTTCAGAACAGAAAGAACCCATGGCGGTTTACCAAAAACGACCGCGTGCTTATGAGTTTTGAGTGAAGAGAGCAAAGAAAATTACCCTTATACTTTAATGGTGGGAAATGTGGGCAGGTGAGAGAAAGCTTTGATTTTGGTTATCGATCCGAGTAAAGTTTGTGCATTTGGTGAAAGCAGGTTCATTTCAAAATCCGAAATCAAATCCCTGAAAAAAAATTCAATGTCAAAACCCTCGTCTCGAATCATCCAAGGTCTGCTCAGATTTCACCACAATCAAATCTCAAAACCCTCGTCCCCACTCACCAGCTCCAGGAGGACCTACCACTCCAACAATGGGCCTCTTCCCCAATTCCCCTCTCACCCAAAACCAATCGGCGGCGGCGGTGGCAGTTCCTCCGGGCCGGGGCTGGGCCTAGGCCTTGGCCTGAGGTTCTTCTCCTTCAAGCCACCGAATTTCAGCAAAGTCAATGCGAAGAAGGTGTTCGATAAGCCGCTCTCCGCTGCCGCCTCGGCTTTCTCGCGGTACCAGGAGGCCATAGGGTTGCAGATTGAGGCGTTCTGGAAGAGGAACAATCTGGTGCTGTTGGGCGTTGGAGCACTGGTGGTGTGTGCTTTGCTATGGAGGGTCATGTTTGGGATTGCTAGCACCTTCGTTGGACTCTCTGAAGGGATGGCCAAGTATGGCTTTCTCGCCCTTTCTTCTGCCATTGTCGCCTTCGCTGTAAGTTACTCAAAATATCGTGCAATAACGTAGAGCAGCTGAAAACGTACACTGTGCTTTGTCAATAGTGATTTGCAACTATAGTCCTACAAGCTCTAGTGGTAGATTTAAAATGAATGTCCAACTTATTTAATCAGTTATAATGTTATAGTAGGCTTGTAGGTGGCTCAATGCAGTGACTGAGTGACACCTTCAATGGGTTCATTTGTTATTGTTGTTGGAGTCTATTTATGATCACAAGTTGAGGATGGTAGGAACTAGGAACTCAGAGCTTGATATTTTCTTATCCAGTACATATGGATTTCCTGTTGTTTGGAAATCTTGGTTTACATTATAGATCAGCATTTGAAATTTATGTGCTTTTTCGCTACTCTTAGGGCCTTCATATCCGCTCAAGATTCACAATCAATCCTGATAAACTTTATAGAATTGCCATGAGGAGGCTTAACACTTCAGCTGGGATTCTTGAGGTTATGGGTGCCCCTCTCTCAGGATCAGACCTAAGAGCCTATGTCATGTCCGGAGGTGGGGTTACACTAAAGAAGTTCAAGCCAACTTTTAGGAGCAAGCGGTGTTTCCTCATTTTTCCAGTACGAGGTTCTGAGAGAAAGGGTCTGGTCAGTGTCGAAGTGAAAAAGAAAAAAGGCCAGGTTTGTGTTTGTGCTATGCTGTTTGCTACTAAATTTTTCTCTTCATAAGCATTAGTTTTCATTTCAATGTTCTTCGTTGATCCCCTCTTGTGGCATCAAATGGAAGTTGAAACTAAACTAGTTTCATGCCCCAGTTGATAGTGTAGAGAAATGTACATCACAAGAATGTTTTATTGGTAAACGTATACTGCAGTGTTTGTATCTGCTACTGTGATTCTTCTGGTAAAAGTTTCTTCCACAGCGTGTGTGCCTCTCAAGCGAAGCAGATTGAGTGCATGCTCTGCCCCATATTGATGCTTTACATTAGTCAGTTAGTAGATGGACTGTTGAAAACCTGTATATTGTTTATTTTATGACTTTGGGGGTACTTGGACGGTCAAGTTTTTCTTATTGAAGCATTTGGGTGCCATCTTATGCAGTATGATATGAAGCTACTGGCAGTTGACATTCCAATGGCATCAGGGCCTGACCAGCGCTTATTTCTGATTGGTGATGAGGAAGAGTACAAAGTTGGTGGTGGACTGATAGCTGAGCTGAGAGATCCGGTTGTGAAAGCAATGGCTGCAACCAAGGAGTTTGATAGTCTTGATCAGATTGAAGAAGAGGAGGATGCTGAAAGAGAACTTCAGGAGGCAGAAAGAAAGCACCGCGAAGAAATTGAGAAGCTTGAAAAGGATGGGTCACAGTGATTGTTTTCTTTAGATTTTGTTCCTGCCCCTTCCATTCTCTTCTGTTTTGTTTTGATACAGGAGTTTGTAAATAATGCGCAAGTCTTTGGCCATCATCTCAGATTGTTGGTGCAGGTTACCTTGCATTGTTTTGCAGAGTTGAGTTTTACACTTTTAAATTACCTTGTACCGCAAGCAGCCTACTTTGGAAATTTCAAAGTTAAGATGGCAAATAAAAGTAAATTACAGACTACCAATTTCTGTGAAGCAAAAGCAAAAGCATGGCATGATTCCAATTACAAACTACTCTCTGATTTATGATGTTCATCCTATTTACAAACTACCCATTTCTGTGAAGTGATATTACTATTTTTCTTCTTTGGGACATCAAATTGTCCGTAGTACGATGTTACCAGCAATTCCTGAAGCATGCTTACCTTACTATTTTTCTTCTAATGGAGGCTGTTCTTGGGTATTATAGCAACTGTGCCTCTGTAGTGTTTTAATGACTGTTTTAAGATGCGATTTGAGGATAAAGGCCCTGTGCTTCCATTTGAGGCTGTTGTTTTAACGACTCTTTAATTTTACGTTTATAAGGTGGCTCTTCACCATTACAGGTTAGCAACCCTGCTTCTGTCCTTAAGTCTCCTACTGATGATCTTTAAACTTATTCCATGAAGCTGCAAAGACTAGTATGAGATGTTGTTTAACTAGGGTTCTGTTTAACCCAGGTTCTAAAGTCGCACAAACGAGTCAATCAGATTGCGGCATTGTCTCGTCTCAACCAGTTTTGCTAGGGTCAGGTCAGCCATCGATCGGGGTGAGTCTCTACTACCATGGGAGCCACATTGATTGACGATTGAGAGTCACTCACACGTGTATGCGCTATGCAAGAGTCTCCATCTCCCACCAACATTGGAGATTTCTGATGATAATTCAAATGGTGCCCATGAGATAATACATGCCAACAGCCAACTACCATAATACGGATGGTCTTCCCAGTGACATCAATGTCAGTTTCAAATGGGTTGCCCGGGACTCGAACCGGGAATCCTGGTTTGTCATTTATATCCATATTTCCTATCAGAAAAACAAAAAGGTTCAGAAATTACACTTTATCAAGGAGACCCATACCATACCCTACCATGTGACTTGTGAGTTGAAGAATTTTCTTTAGGTATGACCTAACCTAACCTAACCTAACATAACACAATTATAGTTCTGATGTTGGGTTTGAAGTCAAAACAAGAGATGATAATGCATAACAACATTTTGATATGTGAATTCAATTCATCATTAGCAACAAAAAAAACAAAAAACATCAGAGGCAGCACAAAGACATGAAAGCATTTTGCTCTCTACCGCATGCACTATTTTTTTCCTTTCTTTAGTCTTTAACACGAAACACCATTAATGCAGTATTAGCTTTTTTGGTTGTGAAAGGCTCTGATTTCAATTCCTTTATAATTGCCGACGTTACTGTTGAAAATGAATCGTCCTCTATTTAATAATTATATTAATTATTCCTTTTAGACTTCATATACCAGACTCTTTCTTTTTTCTTTTTTGGCTCATAACTCCTGCAATGCAATCAGTAAACTTATGAGAAACTTCCGTTTCTAAATCAAATATGGCATTGCACTCTAGGCAATGAAAAAAAATGTTCCCGTTTTGTTCAAATTTATGCTCTTTAACAGTCCTATAAGGTTCTGCAGCACAGCAGACTCTTAAGCAATGAATGTTCTCGACAAACGAAATTCCAGAGTTTGAACTGGATTATGCATATCTGAGGTTTTAGCCTGAAGTTGGTTTCCAGATTTTTTAGTTATGAATCAATCCATTTGCATCTTTGTTTATGAATATGATTATAAAACTGGTTTGACAGATCTGCAACAGCTATAGGCTTGAACTGCATGCATGTATAAATACATGTAAAATCTATCAGGTACTTGTTTGTGCTTTCTCACTCTACTCTTTGCAATTTCTTTTCCATAGTTTTATTGACATATTTAACAGGCTTACTTTTGTGTCTTAGTTCTTTCCCATTGGCTTCCATGTTGTCTTATTTTCATCTATTTTGGTTCTTAAGCATGCTATCTACCAACCAAAATAGCAACTAAATCATGTGAAATTCTGCACAATGCAATACAATACCTTCACCCTTTTTACAGAACAGAGAATTGAACTTTTGCTTTTTCTTTATGAAGGCTATCTTCTTCTTGGATTCTTTCTTTGCAACCACTTTGCTTTGTATACTGATTACTTTTTCCACTAGTTTTCAAACTTTTAAGTGCTCTATTTATGTTGAGGGAGAAAGTGCAGCTTAATTTTTGGTGACTAACCTCTCCTTTTTCTTCAGTTGGCTTTTCTTTTTTTCTTTTTCTTTTGGCTAAAGAAAGTGCACTTTGCTTTTCCAATTTAAAAAAGTTGGTAGGGAAGCCTTTTCTTTTTTTCCTTTATTTTTCATCAATGAAATTCCAATTAATCAAACCCATGTATCGATTCTGTTACTGCTAATTCTGCACAGAAAGTACAAAACTTCAGTGTTAAGGATAGAAATGCCATGATTAATCCATCTAAAAATGGGGAGAACTTTTCACAGTCAGATTTTTGTTTTGCATAGAAGGTGAAGTATGTTTGGCTGTTTTTTATGTTCTTTTCTAGTGGGTAAAGCCGATACGCACACACGGTGAATTCATATTTGGTAGCCATAGTAATTTTCTCAACCAATAAGAGAAACAGTGTTGATGAATTTATTCTCTTTAGGTAATCATAAGAATCAGGACAGGGTAGCATGTTTCTTTGTGCATAATGGAATCTGTCTCAAGTTATGTGATCTTTACATGCCATGCCGAGTAGGTTTTTTTTTTTTACTACTTTCCTATTGGGTTGTATTTTATCTTCTGTACCTTCTTTATCATCTATGAACCTAAGAGAAATTTATCATACACAATATGAATATAGAACTGTAAAATACCCTCTCTAGCACTACACTTTTCAAAGATTGCACGATCAATTCTCTGGAATTTCACCAACTCATACTTGAGTGGTTCTTTGCCACTCTTCTGAACAGAACATTATGACATAATTTTCCTTTGAAAGGTAGTCAAATCTTCTCTGCTATCTGTATGCCACCTGCATGATTAACTAACTTTGTTTTCTGGTATTTTCTTATTGTACCAGGAGAAGAACAAGGACTCTCATAATTGAATCATTTTCATTCTGAGCAGATAACCATGAAGCTTCAGTTCTCCATTGCTGCACTTATCTTCCTTTTCCTTATCCGGTGTTTCCCTTCCTCGGTTATTGCTGACCTGAATTCTGACAGACAAGCCCTCCTTAACTTTTCTGCCACTGTTGGCCATACCCAAAAGCTCAACTGGAATGCTGCTGCACCAGTTTGTGCCTCTTGGGTAGGAATCACTTGCAATCTAAACAAAACTAGTGTGACTGCTATCCATCTTCCAGCTGTTGGACTCTTTGGCTCCATCCCAGCCAACAGTATAGGCAAGCTTGCTGCTCTTAGAGTCCTGAGCCTTCACTCCAATTTCCTCTATGGAAGTCTTCCTTCTGATATCCTATCCATTCCTTCTTTGGAGTATCTTTACCTCCAACACAATAACTTCTCTGGTGTGTTTCCTGCCTCTCTGTCCCCCAACCTCATTTTGTTAGATTTCTCCTTTAACTCCTTTTCTGGAGACATTCCAACAACATTTCAGAATCTGACACGCCTCACCGCATTGAGCCTCCAAAATAATTCCCTCTCTGGAGCCATACCTAATCTGAACCTCCCAAAGCTTAAGCTTTTGAATATGAGCTATAACAACTTAAATGGATCAATTCCATATTCCCTAAAAGGTTACCCTGATTCTTCATTTACTGGGAATCCTCAGTTATGTGGGGCACCTCTCAAAAATTGTTCCAAGACCTCCTCTTCACCTTCTGCTTTCCCTACTTATTTGCCACCCTCACCAACAGTCCAGAAAAATCACCATGCTACCGTCATCAAAAAACTTGGCCATGGTTATATTACTGCTGTGGCAATTGGGGGCTCTGCAGTGTTGGTTGTTTTAGTCCTGATGATTGTCATATGCTGTTTGAAAAGGACTAGCAAAGAAAGGCTGAAAGGGAAGGCCTCTGGTGATGGAAAGAGTGAGATGCCTAAAGATTTTGGCAGTGGAGTGCAAGAAGCAGAGAAGAACAAATTGTTCTTCTTTGATGGATGCTATTTCAACTTTGATCTTGAGGATCTACTGAGGGCATCGGCTGAAGTTCTTGGTAAAGGAAGTTATGGCACAACTTATAAAGCTGTTTTGGATGAGGAAACAACAGTTGTGGTGAAGAGGCTAAGGGAAGTTATTGTAGGTAAGAGGGAGTTTGAGCAGCATATGGAGGTGGTGGAGAGAGTTGGGAAGCACCCAAATGTTGTGCCTCCGCGCGCTTATTATTACTCCAAGGATGAGAAGCTTTTGGTCTACAGCTACATGCCAGCAGGAAGCTTGTTTGCACACTTGCATGGTATGCCTAATCTAAATCCTAATGTCTAATTATAGTTACTTTAACTGGTTTTGCCAATTTTTTTTTTCTTTTGTTTCCATGCATTTACAGGAAGCAGGGATGCTGGAAGGTCTCCACTAGACTGGGATTCAAGAGTAAAGATTTCACTTGGAGTTGCCAAGGGAATTGCCCACATTCATTCTGAGGGTGCTAAATGCAGCCATGGCAACATAAAATCCACCAATGTCCTCCTAACCCAAGACCTTGAAGCTTGCATCACTGATGTTGGGTTGAGTCCTCTAATGAACTTCCCTGCAACCATGTCACGAGCCACTGGATATCGTGCTCCCGAGGCAACCGACATGCGAAAAATCTCTCATAAATCTGATGTTTACAGCTTCGGCGTGCTCCTCCTCGAAATGCTGACAGGCAAAACCACACTTCAATATCCAGGACATGACAGTGTGATTGATCTGCCAAGGTGGGTAAAGTCTGTCGTTCGCGAAGAATGGACAGCTGAGGTTTTTGATCTGGAGCTGCTAAGACAACAACACATTGAAGAAGAGATGGTGCAGATGCTTCAGATTGCATTGGCATCTGTATCAAAGTTGCCCGAGGCACGCCCCAGCATGGATGAAGTTGTTAGAATGATAGAGGAAATTCGGCAGTCTGACACGAAAACTAGGCCATCCTCTGAGTCTGAGTTTGTCGTGCAAACCCCGTGAAATATATAGCCTTTCTGTTCTTCTCTATGCAAATGGGAAATAATGTTCAATGCTGTATTGTTTTCTGTATCACAATCTCCTGATTAACATTTTGCTTGCTAGTAGTAGCTTCTAAAGACCAACATTATTTTCAAACTTGCACCTGCATTTTCATTTCATATCTTTTTCCCTTCAACATTGCGGTCCTGCCGCAAATTTTGTTAAGGGTGAAGATTAAGCTGCTCAAAAAATCGGCCCCCAAGCGCTAGGCGGTGCGTAGGCTCTAGGCGGGAGGATACCGCAGCGATTTCACCCTAATCGTTAGGGGTAGGCGCCAGGGAGTTAGGCGGCCTGGGCTGGTCGGGTGGCTGCTTCTCTACTCTTCTCGACCCGACCAGTGGCAACAACGGCTTCTTCTCTACTCGTCAGAGGTATCTTGGAATTTTTCTTCTTTTCTTAGCTACTGCTGGGTTCATCTTATTTCAAAGGCGCGCGCAAGAGGAGAGACGATGGAGGTAGAGAGAGATGCGAGTTGATGGAGGCGGAGAGATGAGGGTTAGTGAAACGATGTGTTTCACTTATGGGCTGGTATTTTAATTAATTTTGGTATAAATGTATAATTTATAATACAAAATAATTATTTTTTCACAAAAACGTCTAGGCGCGGGCCTCGCACCTACCGCCTAACGATTTTTCGAACATTGATTAAGCATCAAATCTCAAATGCAAACAATATAATGATGTAAAGCATCCATAAAATGGCAAAATATTCAAACAAAACAAATAAAACATGATTGCTTCACGCCCTTAAAAGTGAAGTTTAGGTTTAAAATGTTTGACTAATTAGGGTCTAATCTAACCTAAAACCGATTGACTTGAAATTATGTCCAAATATTAAGACAACTAATTTTACCTACTCTGAGATAAACAACAACCATACAATTATCTGTTGGAAATTTGATCGTTGAGGCAAACATTTACAACTCATATTTCTGTTGGAAAACTTGAAATTGGCCAACAAAATTAACATTCCTCATGTTGTCATATTATTTATTTGTGTTTGGTCCAATATCTAATTCTTTATGCGTTGTTAATTACACCTGCTTATATGGCAAGCCAGCCTGTTGTCGTTTCAACACTGATTTTCCCATTTTTCTTGGATTAACCACCATAAATTTTTTATTTTTCTCATTTTACTTTCTTCCATCACCTTAATCCCAATTTCTAGGTTTTGTTCTTCTTCCTTGGTTGCGGATTAGGCTTTGATCGCCATGAAATCTTGCCAAAGGTACATCTTCTAATGGCGGTGTTTCAAAAACAGTTTCTGCATTTTTCTTTGTCATATTTTGGGATTGGGATTTCTTTTTTTTATGTGATTATATAATTTGACAAAAGAATTCCACCATATCTCAAATTATTATGTTTTGTTCATGAGATTAGGGCCAATGCTAAGGGTTCCATATAAAACTCTTCCATATGCTAAATTAATAGTCTTTTCCTTGTAGATTTTCATGGAGAAGAGTTGGAGAAATTAATGAGGACCCTTTTTTTGGGGGGTTTTTTAATTCTTGTCATGCAAAATGTATATGCATTCTGAATCAAATACACACCAGAACTAGTCTCAGTAGTATATTTTGGTTGCCTGACAAGGATTTTTTTTTTTGTTTTTGTTTGTTTTGTTTAGATGTTTCTGATAAATCTGTTCCCATTTTGCTGTGCACACTCAAATGGGAAGTTGCTGTTCTATGGTAAGTTTCATTGTACAAGGAGGACAATTCAGAAAAATGATAGTGTGCTTCCTCATTGGCCTCTAAGATCAATGACCTTTTGCTGCATCATCTGAGGAAATGCTTTGATTCTTGCAGTGCTCCGGACATAATAGCGACGAGGATCATTTTGAGGGTTGTCTTGCCAGTGGAAATGTGCACCTTATAAAGACCATGGAAAGTTGGGAGGCAAAGTTATCAGAAGCAGTCAAGGATGGCAAGATTGTAAGTTTCTAGTGTTCTTTTCTAAATAAAGTGGGTTTTTTTTTTTTTAAAAGAATCTGGAAGAGAAACATCAGATGGAACTTTGAGCACCAATTTCATCATCTTTCTTATCATGAAGCCTTAGCCATAACATTCTCACATGTAGTCCTCCCTGCAGTTTATTATACAGAAACCCCAGCAAACCCTGCCAATATTTCGAATTAGCATTTTAATTAACAAAATCATAAGCTACATTAAAGCTATTTTTTGTCTAATTAGTCTTCAGAAGGAACATTGTTCAAACTAGTATTGTTACCAAAGAAAACAAAAATCCTTGCTAAATCCAGCATGCCTAATTTTCTCTCATATGAATACGACGTTCTTTATCGAACTGTGTAACAGGTTGTAGCAAATTTTAGTGCATCGTGGTGTAGACCTTGTATAATGATCGCACCAGCCTACTGTGAGCTTGCTGACAAGTATCCTTCTATCGTATTTCTAACCTTGGATGTCGATGATCTCGCTGTAAGTGAGAATTATTTCTTGTTTGTCACATAATCTGCGTACTAACAGAGAAGTATAGAAATGCAGATTCCGATGAAATTTTCGCTTCTCTTTATTCTGATCCATATAATGTAGCAATCGTTTGATGAATGATGCTTCTTCTTTTTTTCTGGGGTGCAGGAGTTGAGTACTTCATGGGATATAAAGGCCACTCCAACATTTATTTTTCTTAAAGATGGAAGACAAGTGGACAAACTTGTTGGAGGCAACAAGCCAGAGCTCCAGAAGAAGACAGCAGCTGTGGCTCATTTAGCAACCAAGTCTCATAGTTGACTCTTTTGTGATGATCATTCTCTTTTCTTTTTTTCTTTTTTGGTTGGGATATTAATCTCATGAAAATCAATCTGGTCTCAACATGTAATTAAAATGATGTCCATGCTAACTGGTTATCAAATCATTGCATGGTGAAATATCATCATATCAGAGAATTTTGAGATCTTCTGTGCGCATGGTCCAGATACAGGAGCATTGGATTTCAAAGCAAAGACATCAGATAATTAATATCTGTTTTAGGATAAAAGAAAACCAAAAGTTGGGAACTCAAAACAGAAGACAACTCTTGACACAGATTTTCCAACACACAGAGGCAACTCAGGTTAAAGTCAATATTAAACTCGATTTGCAGGCTACGAAAAATGATAAGATAATAGCATTCAGACAAAAGTCAACATTATGGAGAGAATTTCTAAGGAGCATGAAGAAACAACAATATATACATACAATGATATACATTTCTTGTGTGTCAAGATTGCTCGAACTATGCATCGGTTCAGCTTTGACAGTTGAATGTATCCTCCTAGAAGGGAACCGGTGCATCGATCATAAACATCTAAGGCAGCATAGAAAATAAAAATTGACTTACAGCAAAAGACAGGAAGAGACAAAGAGATGGAGAGAAAACTTGTCCTTGTCCTTGTTCTTGTCCAGATATTAAACCCCTCTAGCTCTCGGAATTAACAAAACAGAGGATAAACCAATATCCGAACTGGCTTTCAGACAAGTTAGCCGTTAATCACAATGGGATTTTCTTGAAATTCTAGCGATGGAATATCTGTCAAAGTTACAATCAAAACAGGGGAACATCCGCCCCCTTGATCTTCTTAAATAATCGCTCATTTCCTTAGCAAACCCTTCTTGAGTTCCTTTCACTCAGCCTCGAAAAAAACACAACTCCAGCCATGGCAGATGGAAAAGAATCCATCTTCTCATCTCTTGACAATGCCAAAACCCAACTTTACCATTACAAGGCAATTGTCATTGCTGGTATGGGATTTTTCACTGATGCTTATGACCTTTTCTGCATCACCGCCGTCACGAAACTTATAGGGCGCCTTTACTACTATGACCCTTCTACGAACAGTCCTGGTGCTCTGCCTAATCAGATCAACAATGCAATAACTGGGGTTGCTTTGTTTGGAACCCTAGCAGGGCAACTCTTCTTTGGCTGGCTTGGAGATAAACTTGGTAGGAAAAAAGTTTATGGTATCACCTTAGTCACCATGGTGGGCTGTGCTCTGGCCTCTGGCCTTTCCTTTGGCTCCTCTGCTCAAGGTGTTGTTACAACTCTCTGCTTCTTTCGCTTCTGGCTCGGATTTGGGATTGGAGGGGACTATCCCCTCTCAGCTGTCATCATGTCCGAATATTCCAGCCAAAAAACCCGAGGCGGATTCGTTGCTGCTGTGTTTGCCATGCAAGGAATTGGCATATTGGTTGCAGGAGCTGTAGCCATGCTTGTGTCCAAGGTATTCTTGCAAGCTTTCCCAGCTGATAAGTTTAATGTCAATCAAGTGCTGTCTACTCAGCCAGAAGGCGATTTTGTTTGGCGGATTGTGCTCATGTTTGGTGCTGTCCCAGCTGCTCTGACCTTTTATTGGAGATCAAAAATGCCTGAAACTGCAAGATACACTGCCTTGGTTGAAGGAGACCATGAGAAGGCTAAAGCAGATATGGCCAAAGTGCTTGAAAAAGACATTCCTGTTGCTGCTGTCAATGGAGATTCTGATTCCAAGGTCCTAGTTGATCCTAACTCCTCATATGGGCTGTTTTCTAGGGAGTTTCTTAGGAGGCATGGCCTCCATCTTCTTGGCACCTCCAGCACCTGGTTCTTGTTAGACATTGCCTTCTACAGCCTACAGCTCACTCAGAAAGATGTTTACCCTGCAAGTGGGCTTTTACCAAAGGCATCAACAATGAATGCAATAGAAGAAGTGTACTTGCTCTCCAAAGCAATGCTGTTAATAGCACTTGCTGCAACAGTTCCTGGTTACTGGTTTACTGTCTTCCTCATTGACAAGATTGGAAGAAAGCCAATCCAGCTTGGAGGGTTTTTACTGATGTCAATTTTCATGGCAGTTCTTGGATTTAAATATGGGGTACTTAGGGGAGAGAAGTGTGAGGACCCAAATTCCACCTTGGACTTCTGCAACGGTCACACTAACTTGTTCACCCTTCTCTATGGCCTGACCTTGTTTTTTGCAAACTTTGGACCCAACAGCACAACTTTCATTGTGCCGGCTGAGCTTTTCCCGGCAAGGTTCCGGTCCACGTGCCACGGTATATCAGCAGCAGCAGGAAAAGCAGGGGCTATACTTGCTGCATTTGTGCTGCAGAGTTACACTCATCAACTCAAAGGCATCCGGAAGGCAGTCATAGCGCTTGCTGTGGTTAATTTGCTTGGTTTCTTCTTCACTTTCTTGGTGCCAGAAACAAAGGGCAGGTCGCTTGAGGAGATTTCTGGAGAGGACAATGATCTTGGAGGCAATGGGATCACAGCCATTAGCAATTCAGATGACAAGGCAACAGAAGCTACCAATGTTGACAATGGCAAAGACAAAGTTGCAGAAGCTGAAATGGAAATGGTCTAGATGTTCTGATTTGATCTCATTTCAGGAAATTACGAGTGTGTTTTTGTGTTGTGTCAAATAAATTGTCTCTCCCCCATTGATGGGGTTTATAGTTACCATGTTAGAGCACATTTTTCTCACACACTGTCTTTTTGGAAAAATAAATAAATAAATTTCCCAAGTAATTACTTGTAATAAGGCCTGACCAACAGCAGCTGTGGAGTTGCAGGGATGAAATAAAAGGTAATAATAAATAAATGTGATTCTCTTCCTTTCTATTAATTAAACTTGTACCACTATTTACAAAGTGAAAGTGTATCTTCAAGGGCACTTCTGTCATTTCCATCAAATTATTAATCTCCTCTACCATGGTTTCCTCATCACTTTTCCCCCATCAAACATTCAACAAAGTCACACAACAGTTGGCAGTGGCACCATGTGAAGTCATTTTCACAGGGCTTTTGGTATGCTGCACACGGTGAAATTAGTACGTAGTAGGCAGTCCTAACCCAAAAAATATATTTATCTTCGGAAACGGTATAAAGTATAATTTTAGTCTTAGTTTAGGCAAAGCACCACTTTTGATCTCTATAGTTTCAGTTATCGTAATTTTAACCCATACGGTTTAGCATTCAAGCTTGTAGAGCGACAAGTATAGTTCTCAAATGTCTTGTCCAACTAATGAACATTATGTATGTTCTTATTCCCTTGTTCTGTTATCAATGGTTGCTAAAAAGAAAAAGCACAACCACATATTTATATATATATATTCTCCTCGGCTTTCTAGCAACTATTTAAGCCCACCATAAGCTGCTGCTTTTACAAGGAAGCCGAAAAGCAAAAATGGGGTGGAGAAGAAGGGACTGTGGTCACTGTCCAAAACATACACCTCAGATGGTGGCCACCTCTTTATCATCGAATCTTGTTGCTCTGGTTTTACGACATGATCATGCAACGTTTTCACGTAAACACGAGGCACTTTCTCAACCTCGTCCTTCTCCTCAAAACGGGCTGTCGTTATTGCTAGGAGCGGTCCAGGCCTCAACAGCATGGCAGCTAGTGTCGAATCCTGAGAACAAAAGAAGGCTTCTAATTAACATACACATGAGTTATGCTATGATTAATTTTGTGATTATGTGAAATGCCTGTAATGAGATATTACTTTTTAGCAAAATCCATGCATGAGTTATGCTAGGGTTAATCGTTCACGCTGTACGGGAGATTAATCTTAGCAAAATCCTAACATGTATGTATATGAGACGTATATTCGCAAGTACATCAATGATGTGAAGGATTGAATGTGATGCGATGCACATATTGATGACCATCCAATTTGCTTCAACAGCAAAGCGAAAGGACTATACAAAAACAAAGTGCCGAGTGCCCACCAACCAACCACCAAAAACAAAGGTACAGATACATTTAAAAGGCTGTGATCAAGGGTTTATTTATATACCTCTTGAGGACTCATTTGGTATATGATTTTCCGTTGGAATTCTTTCTTGACCATGGCGCTTGTTGGAGGTTTATTGGATTCCAATCCAAACCCTAACTCATATATGTCACCAAATTCAGATAAATCAGGCACCCCCTGTTTCACATAAACATTATATAATAATTATAATCAGAAAAATAATTGGTCCCATCTCAATCATTGGGGGCTAGATTGAAATGTATAGTAAAGTATATCATGCTGACAAAAAAAAATGCCCAAATTATTGAAGATATGATTGCTTTCTGATAAAATAAAAAATAAATAAATTACTGAAATTACTTAACAAAATCTAATTAGTTTGCATTTGTACTAATTTTGGATAATTAATGAGACTAAATAGTATAATTAATGTTTTCTTAAGAGATAATGCCTGGCCTAACAACTATTTTTGTCTGTGAAGACAGTTGGCAGCCATGAGCCATCTTTCTCTGCATTTCACACCATTACCAGCATTGGGATCTTACAAACTGAAACAATCTTTACTAATTTCCAACCAATTCAAGCAGCCAAGCTGCCATGCATGGCTGCTCAAACTTATTTCCCATGTCAAATTTTCTAAGAACATGATGCAATTCAAACGAATCAGATTGAGAAAAAAGGCATTAGGGAAAAACAGTAATTACATCTTTGATATCTTGATCAGTTGAGTAGCCAAGTTTCAGCATTGTTGCTGCAACATACACTGCTAATCTGATTTTCTTTGGAAACATGAGAGTGGCATGGGTTACACTGAGCCCTCCAGCACTGTGCCCTACCAATATTACCTGCAAAACAAGTTACTTAAGTTGATAAAACAATCCCCTAATACACGTTTCCAAATAATTAAACAAAGGGAAAGAAAATTAATCACCAAACCAAAACAAGACCTGTTCATTTTCAGGCAGAGCAGACAACAAGTCCAGCAGTGGCTTGTTGTAATCGTCAAAAGAAAGGACTGAATTCGCATCGGATTGGTCGATCCCCGCGCTTTTAAGATCAACGCAAGAAACCTTGTAGCCTGAATTCTCCATGAGGCATCTGATTTTGTACCAACACCAAGCCCCTCCACTTATGCCATGAACCAGCACAAAGTGATCAGTCTTCAAGTTGAAGGTTACTTGTGATACTTCCTTCAAATTGTTATTTAGCTCCTCTACCATGGTTTCCTGCTCTCCCTTTTCCAGCATCAATGCCCTGCTTCTCTTTCCCCACTCCCTCTCCTCCAAGCCCTTGAGTTTTTTTTTTCTGCCTGCCCACTTCTCTCTCTCGCTCTCTCTCTATATATATATACACGGTTAGTGGACTTGAAATACTTTAATTAACTTGCTGCTGCAGGCATAGATTTTGCTTTTGTTCTAATCCATGCGCTCATTCAAATATACATATACCTATGTACATGAATAGTATGCACTCGGATTTACCATTTACATTGCTAAAAGCATCACCAGTATGTCATATTTTTGGAGCAACCAAAATCACATACCACTTGGCAACCTATGGAGTCACTTTCACACAGCTTTTCGTGTGCTGAATTAATATGCTAGACATGTTGAAGTAAATAATTAAGGGCAGCCGTCCTAACAAAAAGATATCTTTGGAAATGGAGTTTTTGTCACTGCACAGGAGCAGCAACAGACATTTGTACCTCCATTACGGTTTAAAAATGATCTGTCGGTTATTTAAATTTTATTATTTTGCTAATCTGAAACCCAAATTCTCTGTTATTTAATTCACGCATTGCTCCAGGCCAACAATATCCTGGGACCTGGCTAAAAAAAAAATTAATTTATCTGGACTCAAATGTATCAATCAGCCAGTTGTTTTCCCCTCATGACTTTTTCTTCACATATAAAATGAAGAAAACAGACACAGACAGAGCTGAAGGAACTTTTTTCCATCTTTTCCCATC